GAATCTACTTAAAGAGTTGGACAACATTGAGGTAAAAGTTGTCACACTCTTTGTTGACAACCTCTCGCCTATCAACCTTGCAAGGAATCCTATAGCATATGGGAGGAGCAAACACATAGAGATGAGGTTTCATTACTTGAGGAAGCTGGTATGTGAAGGACAACTGAAGCTAGCTCATTGTCGAAGCGAAGAACAACTTGCAGATTTATTGACGGAGGCGGTAACAAATGAAGTGTTTAAGAGGCTTGTGAAGAAATTGAGATTGAGTAATATGGAGCACTTGACTTAAGGTGGTCTATTGGAAGCAATGTATAAGTCAAGTGCAGTTTGGAAGCTTGAGAAGCTATTCTGGAAACAACTTAAGTGGAAAAGTTGTTCTACTGCTGAAGCAAAAAAGTTGTTTTGCAAAGAGGAAACCGATTTCCACATATTCAATTGACGACGCCTATTATAAAATGCATGTATCCGTCAAAGAGCAAATGGCGGTGATGTTGAGGTTACCCCTCCTGGCCGCATGGAAGAACCAGACATATGCCCATCCTGGCCGCATGGAAGAACCACCAAATAAATTCGTCAATTAAATTATAAAGTTGTTGTCTTGTCTCTATGTTGACTTGGTGTGGTGTAAAGTTGTTGTCGTGATATATCAGTTAAAGAGCAAATGGCGGTGATGTTGAGGTTAGTAGTTGTATTTTCCAATTTCTAATTTTCATTACTGATTATTCTCTATGCTGCCAAGTAAACTTTTTGAATTTGTTTTAGGTTTTTAAATGACAAAGGGAATATTGTGAAACGATTTATTATTCTACATCATGTCACAAATACTACATTTGAGTCATTAAATGATGCTCTTTATGGTATTCCTCATAAGTACATGTTATCTATTTCAAGGATACGAGGGCAAGGATATGATGGAGCTTCAAATATGAGAGGTGAATTTAATGGTTTGCAAAGAAAAATTCTAGATGAAAACCCTTTTGCTTTCTATGTCCATTGTTATGCTCATCGTTTGAAATTGGTTGTTGTGTCTATTACTAGTAGTTGCTCATCTATTCATGATTTCTTTGTGTACATCACCTTGATTGTGAACACAACAAGTGCATCTTGTAAGAGGAGGGATGCTTTGATAGAGGCACAACACCATGATATTTTAAATAAACTTGAGAGTGGTAATATATCTAGAGGAAGGGGCTTGCACCAATCATCTAGTCTCACTAGACCCGGGGATACTAGACGGGGTTCACATTATACTACATTGCTTCGTTTGGATCAAACGTGGTCCTCCATGTTAAATATGCTTAGTATGGTTGATGAAGATGGACGTGGACCATCTCAAGCAGCGAGTTTGATAGAAAAAACAGAGAGCTTTAAATTTGCTTTTATTTGAGGTTAATGTTAAAGTTTTTTGGTATCACAAACGATCTTTCAAATGTCTTGCAAAGAAAAGATCTTAATATTGTGAATGTCATGGAATTAGTTGATGTTGTCAAAGCTCGGTTGACCACTATGAGAGAGAGTTGTTGAAATAATTTTTTTGTCGATGTCCAAGAATTTTATGTTGTTAAAGGTATTCCGGTGCCAAATATGGATGACGAAATACCGGTTTGGGGTCGTTCAAGATTAGAAGGGAGGACTATCACTAATCTTGATCATTACCGTGCATAGATTTTTTATGTTGCTATTGACAAAATATGCGTGGAGATGGATCACCGCTTTAGTGAAGGAAGTAATATTATACTTGATTGCTTCTCATGTATTGCCTGTAACACCCCTTCTAAATTCCCCAATTAAAGGTAAAGATTAAAATCAGAGAAATAAAATTGCACGGAAGGGATGTCACAACACACATCACATTCCAAAGTTTTTAAAGAAAAACGGACAGGGTATGTTTGAAAGTATAAGCATTCCAACACAAAACAAACATACAATAAATATTTACTTCATTCTCTCGTGCAAACGCAACGGAGTTTCATAATTTCACATCATCTCCATTTATGGAGGAATCAAAACATAATTCAAGGCATCAAGCCATCATAATTCACATAAGCATATGTTATCAAGTCTCACATATATAAAACATCATATACACGAATAAGGATTATATACATCATAATCCAAATACAAAATAATCGAGTTCGACACTAAATAAATTCCCCCCCCCCCCTCATGTGTTACTACCAGAGCATCGACTCGACTCTAATCAAAATAAAACAGATTGCAATCCAATGCATCCGTTAACTAGCGCCTCGCGCTACCGTCCTCGGTACCTGAACAATGCCATCAAAAGCATTTTCAAACAGAAGGGTAAGAATTCCAATAATCATATAACATGTAATTAAGGTAAAGCAATGGCAATAAATAAAGCAATACATCATGATCATATTCATTTTATCACATATAGTATCCGTACCCAAGGAAGTCATTTCCAACACATTAACCATATAAACCAATTATCCGAATACTCACATCATTGGCACATAACCATTATTCAAACAACAACAATATTGGCACATACACAATATACACAATTATGCATGTGACTCACAACACGACTCAACATATGCGAATGCGGTACCGACTTGTGGACCCAAAGTTCCACCGCTTATTTTTCCACATAGGATCAAAGCCACTACATCTATTTCCACTATAGGATCAACGTCTATTTTTGTGAACCCATGTTTCACCGCCTATGTTCCCTTTCCGGGTCAAAGCCACTACGTCTATTTCCATTCAAGGATCAACATCTATAAAATATGGACCCACTGTTTCACCGTCTCTATTTCAAGACCAACCATGCCATGCAATGTACAACCAACAACTCGTATGCAATTAAGACCACTTCCGACCTTAACATACACATACCACATATTCCAACACAATGAAATACCAACAATTGTACATGCATTGCAAATATAATTCACAAATCAAGTACTGTACAAGTTTAAACAATGTTACTTCCATGATTTATTCAAATCAAACACAATTCCGGTTAGCCCTTGAAAACGTCGAAATCTCAAAAATAACTCAACCATAATTACCTACGCGTTTAACTTAGTTACCCCGTCAAGTTTCATTAATTATCGGATAACTAATTTTTACCGCCTATACCGGCAAATTAGACACCAACACAATTCCATAAACCAGAAGCATTCAACTTAATTCGACTTCACCTGCAAAATTCACATTTTTCAACAAAAATGCCACCCAACAGATCAACCAAAATTACTACCATAAACCGCATAATAATTCGGACTATTTGGGGCTAAAATCGGTTAATTAATTATCGACCAATTTTTTATTATTTCTACTTTATAAATCCTACAAAATTATTTACTAAAGATATTAAATCATTATTATTAAATAATTTATATTCGTAAACCGGAACGTAGTTACTTCTTTGTTTATCGCTACAGCAACAGGGAAAATGCCAAGTGGTTCTCCTAAATACCATACATTATATGCGCTACATCATTCAAGCTCTTGCCTTACAAAGCTACTTCATATTATTACCACAGCATGTAAAACAATTCTTCTAAGTGCTAATGTATTAAAAAAAACAAGAGCTTCTAAGTATTACTTCTAATATATAGCTATAGTATTCCAAAAACAATTGCCTTTAAGTATTAATTCTTAATTCCGCTACAGTAGTTAGTATGTGCCTTTAGGTACTACTTCCTAAATATAACTCTACAGTACGCAAGCTTATACCTCTTAACACTACTTCATTCTTTTCAATGCTGCAGTAAGTGACCAAAACAAATTATATGCTATTAAATATCATTTCACTTATATGCGCTACTGTGTACAAAAACAAGTGCCTTCAAATATTTATATACATCATCGCTATAGTATGTAGCCAAACAAGTGCTTCTACTACTATTTCTTAATAAATTGGTACAGTAATGCAATTGCCTTTAAAATACTATGCGCTACTGTATAGAAATCATATGCCTTAAGTACCAATGCTACTTCTCCAATATTACTTTCCATGCTTTGCGCCACTTCATCATATTACTATATGAAATCTAATGCTTTTAATTGATACTTCTGAATGCTACTGCAATACATATGCCTTTAAAATAACAATTCCATTCATCACTGCACTAATTAAAATATGAGATTTTGCAAAGATAATACCAAGGCACTTATTTATGTGTATAACTAATTATATTGGGTTCTAAATCATCTCTCAATTTCATCAATCTACCAATTTTTTTTATCATAACATAGTAGTGAAACTAATACCCTAAACCCCTAATTTATTCCAAAATCAAAACTATAAAATCACACACTAAATAATTGGTGGAAGTCAAACCCTTACCTTGGTGTGGGTTTTCTTGAAACAAGATGATGATGATGCAACTCCAAACCTAGCTTCCTTTCTTCTCTTCTCCTCTTTCTCTCTGCTTTTCTTTCTTCTTTCTATTTCTATTCTTACCAACTATCCTACTTTCTATCTTATAAAACAAATTTTACTACTACTTACTTTCCTCCCCCTAACTTTCTAAAATTCTAATTTGGCCCAATCTATTTAATTCAAATTATATCATATAATTCTATTAAAACCATATTACATTAATTAATATTTATTCTATATAAACCTAATCATGCCAATTAATCAAACAAAGTCCAATATTACTACACACCAAATTAATATTATTCAAAATAATATTTCAACATAATAAATATTTTTATTTCATATTACCCAATTAATATTTCAATCGATCTCAATTGAATATATTTCTCAAAATAGATATAATTTAATAGTTTTGGAAAATAATTAATGAAATAACATTTAAATATAAACGGCGTGTTACATTGCCCTCAAGAACTCTTTCTCCAAGTTTGATGTTGATAAGCTTGATCGTCTTGCTGATATTTATCATGCAGACTTTTCTGATGATGACAGAGGAACAATTAGGGATCAACTTGACACTTATGTTCTTCAAGTGAGAAGAATTGCTTCATTTTCCACTTGTGAAGATGTTCAAAGTTTGATTATGAAGATGGTTCAAACCGAGAAATATTTGGTATTTCCATTGGTTTATAAACTTATTGAGTTGACTTTGATATTGCCGGTGTCGACAACATCCGTTGAAAGAGCTTTTTCAGCAATGAAGATTATCAAGTCTAAATTGTGCAATAAGATCAACGATGTGTGGTTCAATGACTTGATGGTATCTTACACTGAGCGGGAGATATTCAAGTCACTTGATGATATTGATATCATTCAAAAATTCACCGCAAAGAAGTCTCGGAAAAGGCATTTGCCTCGTAATTTTATTTAAGTTGTTATTGTAAGATTGTTTTAAACTACATTTTTGTTGATAAAATAACAAGTCTCTTTTATTTTGATTGATGATAATTTATATATTGTAGTATTAAAATTTTTGCCCATATTCTATAATTTTTCTGGCTCCGTCACTGGATAAAACCATAGTTACCTTGGAGAATTTAACTGAAAACATTGGTTATTTAAATTAAAAATTCATAAACTAACTTATTATATTATATTTTGGATGTTTTTTCTTTAAAATTACATATTCTTGAATGATTGTTTTTGGAGACATATTATAAATATTATACAAAGTTTCCGTAATTATTATTCTTTAAAAGAAAATTGAATTCCAATTGCAAAATTTTCAGTTTTATCTTAAAGTTCTTGGATTTTTTTTTTGTTAAATGTAACTTTTTATGATGTTGTAAGGATGTTTGAAATAAATCATTCAAAAATGCATGTCTACCTAACATCAAAGACTAAAATTACTTTTATTTATAATCTAAAAAATAAATAACAAATAATTTATAGAGATTAATTATATATATTTATATTTAATCAAATTACTAAGCTATCATTTCCTCTCATACCGACTGTTGGTGTTCGCAAATAGCATTTTATTTAATTAAGTTGTGAAATCCAAATTGCAGTGTTTTGTATTAAATCATGAATTAATCACAACCAAACAAATTAATTCATTGGGACAATTAGACACCATCAATCACCTACCATCCATATAGCAAAAACTTTAAATAATACCGTATTAACCCCTCTAATGTTCTTGCTTAATTAGTGTGAGGTCCATAATCACCCGTATAAACAGTGACATGTTTGGCTTATTGCAATATACATTAGGAGCCTTATGTAGATTATTCATATGATTTGATTACTTAACAATAATAAAGTATACAATAATTATTCAATATGTGATATATAAGAGAAAATGCTTTCAGTTTGTATACAAATCAAAACTAGTTGCGTCTTGTCATTAATTATGATTTTGGCTTAATTATAATTGATTGAGATTGAACAATGAGTATATTTCCAAACCATATAAGTTAAGACGTATTACTCAACTTTAAGATATGAGCCAAACCTTTATATATATTTTTATTTGCAACTTTCCTACTTTACATTTTTCATTAAAAGAAAGTGTCGTATTTATGCAAATATAGAAAGTTTTGGTAGTATAAGTTTTTTCCGCTTGATGATTTGTTAATTAATGTTTCAGAAATTTTAATATGTACCTAAATCGAAGACTAGAGGAAATTGATAAAACTTATTTTAAATTAATAATTATTTTGACACTCACTACTGGCATTATGCTGATTAATTTTTTTATTTTATTTTTTAAATTAATTTATTATAAATAAAAAATAGTTTTGAAATCTATTAATTTAAATATCTATTATTAAAAATTTTAACATAATAAATATTTTTTTTATAAAAGTTAAATCCGAAGAATTACACCGCTCAAAAATTCACATAAGATTAATATTTTTTAAAATCGACTGTTGGATTGAAACATGTCATCATATAGATGTTATGGTATTTCAAAACATATCCATCTTGAAGAAGACGAGAATGTTCTGTCGGGGATCTTTGATTTCTCCTTGGGGATGAGGATCCTGACTGAGGATAAAAGAGATGTAGATTCCTCCGATGCATTATCTGACCAAGTTTTAGGTCTGGATGTTGATGCTGTTGGGGAATGATAATCCTTGAGAGACACTCTGCTGGGGATGAATATCTCGTGTACGAGTCTGGCTGGGGAATAATGTGATCTTGTATAACCTATTACTACTCAGAGACTGACATAATAAGTTGATTGATGATTGGTTACTGCTCAGGGACCAATGTAACAAGACGTTCACTGCGTGGGGATTGATGTAACAATGTAGGTGATCACTGCTCGGCGACTAACATGATGAGTTGATATGATCCCTGCTCGGGGACTAATGTGATGAATTGATAGGATCACTGCTCGGGGACTAATGTGATGAAGTTGATAGGATCACTGCTCGGGGACTAACGTGATGATGTTGATAGGATCACTGCTCGGGGACTAATGTGATGAATTGATAGGATCACTGTTTGGGGACTAATGTGATGAGTAGAAGTGTTGGACACTGTTGGAAGAAGATGATAAAGTAGTAGTCTTGTTGAGAAATTTGTTTCTGCTGAGGGAGTGATGGCTCTGTGGGGATTGTGGATATTATTCTTGTGGGAATATACCTTTGTGAAAATGACTCTGTGGGGATGTGTTAGTGACTTTAATTGTCATCTCAGTTCCTAGAGTATGTAGTAATTGCTTTTTATGTTCGCTTTTCATATATTTGTGAACAAATATTTATTGTCAGATGCATATAATCATTCAAAGCAATCATTGGACTTTATGCAAACCAGCAGATAAAAGTAAAAGTTTAAAACTGGAAAAGGGGGATTGTATTAATTTTGAAAAGTGGCCTATAGACAGGCAGTTCGTATTCATAGAGACAAATATCCTAGTAAGAGGAAATTGTCGAAAACATTTGGAAAATAGTAAAAGCTATGTGGAAACAATCTCGTCGAGTTTCAATTCTGCTGTTGCTCATATATTTTCGACTATCTCATCTTCTCGCTGCCAGAAAAAGGTGATTGGATTGATCTGCCCCATTTGAAGCTGATAGTAGTGTAGTTTATAAGTAGATGATCTTGTCAAGACATAGTCGTACGCTTTAATCCTTAACTTTTGCCTAGACCGCTCTTTCGGGTTTTCAGTTTATCGGGATACCCTTTTTTGCCCAAGCCGCCTTTGTAGGTGTTCAGCTTGCCGGGTGTACATCTTTTATATATATATATGTCCCTAACTTTTTCCCGAACCATTTTGGTTCGCCAGGACGCCCTTATTCTTGCCTAGGCCATTCGACCTAGCGGGTCTCGTTTATGCGTAGTATTTTTTTGACTATGTCTGCATTCACAGGGTGCGGGAGGTTTTCTCCATCCATAGTGCTTAGTATCATGGCTCAGACGGAAAATACTGTCTTGACTATAAATGGTCCCTCGTAAGTGGGAGTCCATTTGCCCATGGGATCACCTTATGGTAGTATGATGCGCTTGACTACTAGATCTCCAACTTGGTACACTCGGTGCTTGACTTTCTTATTGAAGGCTTTAATCATGCGTTTATGATATATCTGACCATGGAAGATGGTTGCGAGCCGTTTCTCATCGATCAAGTTTATCTGGTCAAGTTGAGTCTGGACCCATTCGTCTTCGTCTAACTCTGCGTCCTTTAGTACTCTGAGTGAGGATATCTGAATCTCGATAGTTAGAACTGCTTCCATACCACACACGAGAGAGAACGGGGTTGCCCCTATAGATGTTCGTACTGAAGTGCGATAACCATGGAGAGCGAATGTCAACATCTCATGCCAATCTTTATACGTCACTGTCATCTTTTGTATGATTTTCTTAAGATTTTTTGTTGGCGGCTTCCATTGTGCCATTCATCTTTGGCCGGTATGGAGAAGAGTTGTGATGCTTTATCTTGAACTGCGTGCAGAGTTCGGTGATCATTTTGTTATTGAGATTGGTACCATTGTCTATGATAATCCTTTCGGGGATTCCGTATCGGCAGATGAGATTATGTTTGATGAATCGAGCCACAACATTCTTGGTAACAGATGCGAACGAGGCTGCTTCTACCCACTTGGTAAAGTATTCGATAACAACAAGGATGAAATGGTGCCCATTAGAAGCGGTCGGCTTGATTTCTCCAATTATGTCAATTCCCCACATCGCGAAAGGCCACGGGGCGGTAATAACATTCAATGGAACTGGAGGTATGTGTACTTTGTCTGCGTATATCTGACATTTATGACAAGATCGAGCATAGCGATAATAATCAGCTTCCATAGTGGACCAATAGTAACCTGCTCTCAGAATCATCTTAGCCATTGTATGTCCACTGGAGTGAGTACCAAATGTGCCTTCATGTAACTTTTCGATAATTCGTTCGACTGCCTTCTAATCTACACATTAGAGTAAGGCCAGGTCATGATTGCGTTTGTATAAGATGCCGTTACTGAGAAAGAACTTGGCGGCAAACCTCCTTAGAAACTTCTTATCATTGACAGATGCCCCTTTAGGGTATTCTTGAGCCTTGAGATACCTCTTCACTTCGTAGAACCAAGGTTTCTCTTCTACTCCTTCGGTATCAAGTTCACAACAGTACGCCGATTCGTCTAGTCTTTCAATAGTGACTTGAGGAGCTTCGTTGTCCCATCTGACTTTAAACATAGATGACATGGTAGCTAACGTGTCTACTAACTGATTCTCTTCTCGTGGGATATGCTCGAAAGTGATTTCTTCGAAGTAGGGGATCAAATTAAACACATGTTCTCGATATGGAATGAGATTTGGATGCTTCGTGTCCCATTCGCCCTTAATCTGACTAATCACCAAAGACGAGTCTCTGTATACTTGCAAGAATTTGATCCTCAAGTTAATAGCAGCTTTGATACCCATGATGCATGCTTCGTATTCCGCCATATTGTTGGTGCAGTCGAAACATAGTCTGGCGGTGAAAGGTGTATGAACGCCTTTAGGAGATGTAATTACATCGCCAATACCATTTCCAAGTGCGTTGGAAGCTCCATCGAAGACCATGGTCCATCGGGATCCTGGCTCAGGTCCTTCATCCGGTCTAGGCTCTTCGTAATCGGTGACTAACATAATATCCTCATATGGGAACTCGAAATGCATGGACTGATAGTCATCTATAGCTTGATGAGCCAAATGATCAGATACTACACTTCCTTTGATCGCTTTTTGAGTAGTATAATGGATGTCGTATTCGGTCAAGATCATTTTCCATCTTGCTATTCTTCTAGAGAGAGCAGGTTTCTCGAATATGTATTTTATCGGATCCATCTTAGAGATCAACAAGGTAGTGTGAGTCAACATATACTGTCTTAGTCGACGAGCAGCCCAAGCCCAAGCTCTGCAAGTTTTCTCAAGCTATGAGTA